GCAATAGGATCCTCTCTCGTCTGTTTACCTAACAGAACGACAAGCAATCCTCCGGAGCAAAGGGACTCATTCGCCGCCAGAATGAGGACACATGCGAGCATCCTTAAACAAAACCGCCTCACGTTCGTCAAATTACCACCCACCCCCCAACCCCTATCCGAAGTGAGAAGTCGAGAAAAAATTCCAAGGACACATTTACACAAATTAATCATTGGTACGGCAGCAAAAAAAATTCCCGTTAAAAATGCAACATTTGCACAGTAAGACGCGTGCACATAGAGGCACACAAAAGGAATAAAACAGCAGTGAGCTGCGGTGCTGCTGATTATTGCCCTTAGTGCTGCTGCTGATGCATGCTGGCAGGCACCCTGCTGTGCGCTTCTGGACTGATGCGAAATCGGCGGTCATTATTTGTTTCATTTACTTTTTTTTTAACTTTGTACACTCAGCCACGGAGCGGCCGAATGTGCAGCAGAGCATTCATTTGCAACGGCATCGTTTTAAGTACCTCGGGCTACGCAAACACATGGGCTCTCGCTCGCACGCACAGACACACGCACACACGCACACACGCACGCCCACACATAGGACGCATATGGCAACATTTCCTGTGGATGGCACTTTTAGAGATACGCGCAATACCTTTTGGCGCCCTCTGGTCTAACACCGTTTGGGACGAGGCTCAAAAGAAAGCTGTCTCTCGTGTGGACCAATCAGTTTCAAGGACAATGCATCATCTTATCAGTGTTTTTTTGTTTGCATTGTGGTTAATGCAGACATGATTCCTTGTAAAAGGTGTCAGTTTGGTGTTTGAACATCTTAACAACCTGTTTTGTCGCCAGAAAAAAATGGTAAAAACCGATTATCAACGATTGAAAAGTCGCAGCGTTCCAACCTGCTCACGTGAGCACCTCGCCGTGCTCATCTCTTCTCTGCTGACAGTTAGGTTGGCAATAGCATTCCTGCAGAAATATATTGAGCTATTGCATTCTTAGAGTAATACAGCACCTACAGCAATATAACAATAGCTTCCCTATAGCTATATAGCTATAGGGAAGCTATTGATATATAGCTTCCCTATAGCTATATCTTTAAAAGTGCCATCCACTGGAAACGTTGCCATGTGCGTCGTATCTGTGCGCGTGCGTGTCTCTATAGCTATAGGGAAGCTATTGATATATAGCCTCTCTATAGCTATAGAGCTATAGGGAAGCTATTAATATAGTATAGTGAAAGTGCAGACCTGCAATGGCTTGCTCATGACCCTGCCCGAGAGAGCACCTCTGCAGGTTATTTTGGCAGTCTCTTCCACGCTGGCTCGCCACTTTCTGAAGAGCGGGAGTAACCCCACTTTACTCCAGCACATGCGACCTGCCGATAGACTGCGGGAGAAGCATATTCATGCAATTGCATTTCTTCGTAGGTATCTGTGTTGAACTTCTTTGGCACCGTACGTAGCCAACCGTGCTCATCGGAGGTGCAATATTCGTTCTGATATGGTCCAAAATGTTGTTACAGTAACTTGACGTGCATTTTATTTAATGTCATAACCAGGGGTGGAGCGATGTTCCCATTAATCTGCATTCCTAATATTGATTAGTTATCTTACGATGCACGCATTGAAGGACAATGTCTTTCAAATCATTCGTTTATGATGTATGTAATGGGTTCAACATGCGCCCCTATTTCAACATTCACGATAACGTCAAAATAAAATAAAAACACGTAACAATGGTTCTTTGAATCAACATTTCAGCACTCAATTGAGTGGGCGGAGAGAAGACGAATCGTTCCATATCGAGAAGAGGCTGGCTCCGACCATGGGAATGTGGATTTTCACCACTGGCTTAGGCCCGTCAATGGAGATGATAGCTGACAAATTGCTTTTGTTTGAGCACAGAGACACCTTGACTTTATTTGCTATTTAGCCATTAAACAATTGCGCACTTTATATTAGCTCCCTGGACCGTAATGCATACCCTCAGTCTGAAAGATCCTTCAAATGACTTCAAGGATGACGATGATGATGATGGAGAAAGAAAACTAAAATCACTAAATGATCTCATCCCTCAATGCCAGGTCATTGAAGGTGAAATCAGCAAGCAAAGTTCTTAAGTAAAAAAGTCGACTTCTGTTCATGTTTAACTCACGCAGGAATCAAATACCTGTGTATAATTAATTTTGTCATGCATAATATATTACCGAACCGAAGTACTGGTACCTCAGTGGAGTACAAATGTATAATCAAAGCTCAAAGACGTCCCACATGGTGTGAACAAATGGGTCGATTGCCTGAAAGTATTAATAACCCTCTAAGTGAGTGTGTGCATATATACATGCACGTGTGTGTAGTGGTAAGCAGTACCAGTAGTCCCTCGGTAAACAGTGACATCGGTTAACGGTTTTTAGGTTAACGTTTCGCCGCCCATAGGACTCCATGGTTTCGAATGGCTTTAACAATGTTGATTAACGGTATGTTTACATTGTGCACGTGGGCGCTTATTTCGGCCAATCCGAGCACTCGTAAGTGGGGCTGAGCATGCATCAGCCAATCAGCGACGCTCATTTGTGAGCGTTTAAAACTCGACTGGCTTTTGTTTACATTACAGTCATGCTTTTAAACATGTAATTGGTTAACGGTAGTTTTCGTGGAACGGATTCAAAAAAAGTTCACCGAGAGACTACTCACTCACTGCACTGCAGTACCAACTGCTGCTAGGCCAGAACTTTACCCAGGGTCTCCTCTAAGTCAGCTCAGCCCAAAATGAGTACCCAATAAATGCTTGTGAACAGAAATTGTGAGTGTGCGAGCAGGGAGCACTAGATGTCACTACACCAGTCCAGGACCGGTGGAGTGACATCTACACCTGTCCTGGACCTCCTCTAGATCTGCTCAGCCTTGAAGTGGCACCTTATACGGTGTGTATATACCAACGTGAGAGAAATAAAGATAGCCAGGCATGGTGCTGACCACACTAACCCCCCTCGGGACCCACCCTGCAACTTGTAGTGGTCTCGGAATGTGAAAAAAGGCAAATAGAAATGTACACTGTCCTAAGCTAAAAGCACGATGTATGTTTGAAAAAAAGAAACACTTTCAAATTATTGAACTATTCCGTAAAATCACTGGAAAGTCACAGGGTTACTTTACACATTTGGGCGAAATGTTAGAGGCCAGAGGCCACCCTGATGGTGGGCCCATGTTAATAAGAGACAGGGGGGTTATGGCCACACAGGTTTCTTTTCTCTGGTTAGGGTCACGCTTTGAACTCATTTAGGGTTTAAGAATTATGTGCTCGGTAAAAGGCGCCGAGCAGTTAATGCAGCGTGTAACATTTTTTGACGCGCACGAATGAAGGTCAAAAAGTGAATATTGTCAAAGTCGCTCTTATTTTGCGGGATGCCGGCCATTGCATGTTAGCATCAAACCACGTGGTCGATTTTTTTTACCATGAGTTGAATTTGGCACCCTGGTGAAACATTTGCTCTCCCACTGTTATCAACACACAGAGTAAAATATTCTCCATTTAGCCTTAAAGACTGCACCACTTGCACATGCGACAATACACATTTTTCATTCGCTATGTCGGGTGGTGGAGGGCTACATGACAAAAAACTAAATATTTGGCCAGAACATTAAGCTACCTCACCCGAAAATCGTAAGGTGCACGATTTTCTGTGAGCGCTTTGTATAAAATGAGACTAATAATAAAAGTAATAACGGCTGCGAAAACCTCAGCATTGTGCACAAACGGAGGATCAAGAATTTTGTTTCCTCAATCAAACGCGTGTCAACAAGGCAATGACTGCCGGCTTTGTGGAACCGTGCTGTGGATGAACGTGAGGCAATGCCAGCAGCAGCACACAGAAAAACCAACGCTCTGGGATTTTCATCTGCAAAGAGAGGAGCGGCACTTTGGCCGGGCGAAGACTCGGCCGTTTTTGTACTCCTGTAAACTCTGCGGGCATATCGAGTCGAAGTAGATACTGCACAATATTTTTTTCCACCCCCCCCCCCCCCCCATTCTATCTCAACGTTATAGCGCATTTTTGCCATTATCCAGCACAGTTGTGTAAAGGGTGAAAGATTGGATGAATATTAAACTTTCTACCCTTGAGGCTTACCGGGGATAAAATATAAGATGAGAAAGCGAGCAAATAAATAAATAAGGAGAGCGCGGCTCCTGAATTTTCAATAGCATTTGCGAAAATTCATTCTGATAGTTTTTTTTTTCGGAACAGAGGCAGTCGGTTTGTACTTGGCATGTCTGCATTTTCAAAATGCCACTCCACATCAGTCGGAATGCCATTTCAATGTCTGCATTTTATCATGTGCATTTTAATATCACAAGTGGGCCAATGGGTCACCTTTCTTGTTCTCACTTTGTTTATTCTTCATCGCGTGTTACGAATTTTACAAAATTGCCCTCGTGTCATTTATTTATAGCTCCAGGCAGCGCTGGGTGCTGCTAAATGTTGTGAGTACCTTAAACTGTCCGTTTAAATTTCACAAACCGTGTGTGAATGTTTTTTTAATACGCTGCAGATAATTAAGGAAGCACGTGCATTTCCGTGTGATTATGTCATTTTAATTGTATTTATTAGTCTTTCACTTGTTAATTATCAATGCACTCAGGCACTGTATCGAGGTTAATTCATGTTGACAATGAAACACCATGGGATCTTCTTCTGATTAACAAAAAAGCAGAAGGGCAGCACTGATAAAATAATATCGAGGCAGATGGCATGCTTACTAATACAATCAACACACAATGTCAGTTACTCGCCCAGCCAGGCAGGGCCATGGCTGAGCTCGATTCGCAATCGCAAGGCTACCAGATTCGATCCTTGCAGTGGCAGTTAACTCAACTCATCACAGATCAGATCCTCCACGGCCGATAAAATGCATAACCATTTTGCCGGAAGTCAACACTGGTTGTCCGATGGCAGAGACTGGCCCCCTGCCACGACTGCACGGCACCCATCAACCACAGACGTACCGGAAGTTACGGTGGCCGCCCTCTTCTTGAGCGACTTGAGGCTGCGCGAGCGCTCGCTTGCCATCCCGGACGCGCCGCAGCCGCCCCCCTCGCTCGTCGAGTCGTGCGCCGACGACGCGCTGCCCGTGGCCTCGCTGTCCCGCAGCACGCTCTCGTACCCGCTGCTGCCCCCCGAGCCTCCGCCACAACCGCCACCGCCGCCGCCGCCCCCGCCGCCACCTCCACCGCAGCCTCCTCCTCCTCCTCCGCCCGGGCCTCCGTTGCCGCCCCCCCCCCGCGTGGTAGAAGATGGCCGAACGGCCCATCGCTGGAGGGAGGTCGCCGCTGAGCACGCTGCTGTTGTCGCTGAAGTGGCCGCTGCTGTAGCGCGCCTTGCGCGGCGCCGTGATCTTGCTGTAGGGCGACGGCAGCTGCAGGAGCATCGCGGACGCCGACGGCGAGCCCAGCGCCGCGGGGCCTCCTCCCACGCCGCCAGGCGTCCCGCCGAACCGCGGGGTGGGCGACTCCGGCAGGTTGACGCCGCTGTCGTTGCCGCTGTCCGAGTCGGTGGAGCGCCGCGGGTGGCTCACCTTGGGAGGTGACGGAGTGGGCGAAGCGGCGCCGTTCAGGGCCAGCTCCGTCACCCGGCTGTTGGTCACGATCCTGCCGCCTGCCGACGCTTTGCCGCCGCCTCCGCCGGGACAACCGATGCCGCCCGCGGCCGCCGGCCCTCCCCGGCCGTGCTTGGCGGCGGCCGCGTTGTTGTTGCCGCACGGAACCGTCCGAGCCACGGTCCTGGGCGTGGAGGGAACGCTGGCGCTCCTCGGCGCGCCCTGCGGCGCCGTCCTCGCCGAGCTGCTGGCCGACATGCTCCGCGGCTTGGAGGTCCCGGCAAAGGACGCCGGCGAGCACTTGGCGCCGGCGAGCGCCGACGGGGGCGGTTTGGCGGCGCCGCCGCACGGCTTGGAGGAGTCGTTGAGCGGAGGCAGACCGCCGCCGCCCCCCCTCGAGGTGACGGCCGCTCCCATCATCATCATCATCATCGCCTTCGCAGAGCTCTTCCCGCCGCTCCTGCCACTACTCTCTCTGCCGAGGCTGCCTCGGGAGCTCAAGGACGTGAGGCTATCTGCTCGGTGCAGGGATAGGATGCTGCTATGCAGGCTCACGTTAGTCCTGTGTGGGTAGGCTCCGTAAGACGCCTGGCTCTGTCCCGTCTCCACGCCCCTCCCTTGCTGCTGCGAGCGCCCGCCACCGCCGTATTCTCCCACCACGACCCTCGCCTCCACGTCGCTCTGCGCCGGCCTCTTCGCCAGAGCTTTCGAGGACAAGGCGGGCTCTGAGAGCGCACTGACGGGAAGGCCGGCCCTGTTCTTCTGATCCAAGCTGGACTTCCGCACCGGAGGCGCTGGAGGGGCGCCCTTGAGCCTGGGGAGCATACTCTGCTTCGGCAAAGAGGCGGCCTTCTCCGGCCCGCTGGGCCGCGTCTCGTACACACCGCAACCTCCCCTCGCATTTGAAGCCATCGTCCTCGCTCCCATCACGGCAATTCCGTGTGTTTCCGCACCTCTGGTCGGCAGCAGAGCGGGAGCTCCCGCTTTCTCTGCACTGCCGGCCCATCGCGCGGTGGCGCCGGCTGCGGCGAGACTCTCGGGCGGCGATGTCACGATGCCCCCGTTGCAGGCTTTGCCACCGCCCAGCGGCGACGGCGTGCTTTTACTCGCCGAGCTTCCCGCGACGCCGAGTAAAAGCTTGGCTTTGCTCGGTTTGCTCTGTTGTTTCGACTGGCCCGAGCAACTTTTGCCTGCGCGGCCAGACGCCAGCCCGCAGCCAATGCCTTCATCCCGTTTCTTCCAAGGGTCATCAAAGCGGCCGCTGCCACCGCCTTGCTTGGGCGCCGCTGCCGCCGGGGCGGTCGACTTTGGCTGCTGAGCGGCAGCAGCTGGCGGCGATGGAGGCTTGTGGCCGCCATGCGCCGCGTCAGTCCTCTCGGCTTCCGGCTTCGATGGCGCATGGCCGACTGTCCTCACGGCCTGTGGCAGGCTGCTCTTGAGCCCAGCAGTTCTCTTGCCGTCGCTTGCCGGCTTACAGGGGGGCGCCGGTGGCAGCTTGCTTGCAGACTTGCTCGCCTTCCCAGTCGACGACAGCTTGTAGGAGCTGCTACAGCTCTTGCTTTCGCCCTCCGACGTGGAGAAGCCACTGTCGTGGAGCGTGCTCTGCCCGCCGACGGAGCTGCTGCCGCCGCCGCCGCTGAGGCCATCGGGGATGAGGTCGCGCGAGTCTAGCGACAGGGCGTCCACCGACTCCTTGCCCAGGCTGCCGCAGGACTGCATGACGAAGCTGTCGCACGACTGGTCGCCCTCGCTGCCCAGGCTCTCAGCGCTCACCTCGCTCAGCCACGAGCTCACCGACGAGCAGCGGCTCACGGCAGATGCGGCGTCGCAAGGTGGGCCGCGGCCGTCCTGCGCCGCCGCCGCCACCGCCCCGGCGCGCGCGGCCACCGGGCTCGTGGGCGACACGGCCAGGAAAGGATCATAGTCGGAGTCGTCGACGATGCTGCTGATGATGCTGACGGGCCTCGAGCCCGAGGCGAGCGCCTGCACACTGCAGTTGCTTGCAAAGCTGATGATGCTTGCCGGGCGACCTCGAGCGTCCTGCAGTCCCAGGACCTCGCCGAAGGTGAGCTCCTCGACTAGCGCGAACACCAGCACATCCTCGTCACTCAGCTCCAGCGGCTGCTGCACGGTCACCGTCCTGGCGCGCACCCCGGCGCCTGCCGCCTCGCCGCCCGCTTTCATGGGGAGGCTCATGCCCACCGGGGGCGTCCGGGTCCCCTGGGCGCGGAGCTCGACCGCCGGCCCTTCCTGCGCTGCCCTGCCGGTAGAAACGACGTTGCTGCAGCAAGGGGGTGGGGGCGCGGGGCTGGGCAGGGGCCCCTTGCCGTTGGCGGAAGGCTTCGCCCTGCGCAGCTGCGGCGAGCCGACCTGCGGCTTCCTCGGAGCTCGCTCCCCGCTGGCGATGACCGCCTGGCACTGCTGCTTGCACGCGTCCCTGAGCATGGCGGCCCGGCTCGACTGCGCGATGATGTTGGCCGCGGTGCAGCCGAGCGCGGCGCCGCGCGGTGAGAGGGCGGCGGCGGCGACGGTGGCGGTGACGAGGGAGGAGGAGATGCCCCTCGCTTTGGGCAGGGCCGACTTTCCCGGAACCCTCCGACTCTCGGCCCCTTGCCGCGGCGAGGACGCGGCGATTTCCTCCATCGTCGCCACCGGAGCCGCCGCAGGAGCCGTCGCCTCCTCCTCCTCCTCCTCGTCGTCCTCCTCGTCGTCATCGTCCTCCCGTCGCGCTGTTTCCACGAAGAACTCGTCGGGCTCCTCGCTGCCGTCGATGCACTCGAGCCGCTCCTGCAGCTCGGCGAACGTGCTGCACTTGAGGCGGTCGCGGTCGGTGTCCCGGGGCCCCCCGACAGCGGGCGAGCGCGGCTCGCGGCGCGCCGGCTCGCGGCCCAGCGACGGGATGATGGGCACGAAGTCGGGCGGGCCCTCGTTGTCGGTGAGCTCGCGGTCGGAGAGCACGCCGCCGTCGGGCCCCACGTAGATGACGGTGTCACACGACTGCTCGCTGCTGCTCGAATAGTCGGGCTCGGAGGAGCGTTGCTCACGGCGGCACGAGCGGGGGGACGAGCCGGAGCCGCCGCAGGGGATGTCCGGGTCGAGAGCCACGAGGCGAGGGTGGAGCGGGCGGGCGAGGGGCGAGCGGCGGGCGCGGCCCTCCTCGCACGAGCTATCCCCGCCCGAGGAGCTCGAAGCGTACTGGCGGGGCGATCGCACAGCGGGACGAGCATCAGTTTACCGCTCGGCGTGACTCAACCCGCTCGCCCGCTTGTTGCTGCCACAACGAGGCATGGTTAAACCCACCCCGGTTAACCCCCCCCCCCCTGGTTAAACCGCCCCCCCCCCCTCCGTAACTGACATGGAGTGGCGTGGTCTGCGTCCAGCAGTGGATTGACAAAGGGCCGCACGTTTAATCGTTAATGTTGAAGTGGCTTACGTTTTATTATCGGCAAATTCGTTATAATGATCATACATATATTTGCATATTTGTTAACAATTAATTAATAAAAGTTTGAGTTTGGTTCATAATCTAACTTTGAGTTGCATTAAATAGGCGTACTCTTCATTAATTTCCAAATGTTTTTTTTAAGGTGAAGCATGATCTACGGTAATTCTTTCGCATTGCTTCATTCATTTTGAATTGGCTGACGTGGTCGCTGATACGTGCATTTTCCAGGCAGTGTTTTTTATTTATTTCGTACCTGATTGTACATAATTCATTCTCTCATTTGCCATTACTTCATCCGTTTATTCACTGACCAATGTTTTCAAGGGACACTGTTCACCAACGCCTGTCATTGGCTGACCGGTGTTTTCAGTCTTATCAATAACCTAGATCGTTAATGTCATTTAATGTCCAATGACATTAACGCTTGCATGCTCGACTTCATCATTTCAATAAACACTTAAGGTGCATCACCTACATCTTAGGTTACGTAATTTTAATGACGCGAATGGTAACCCATATCTCATGTTCGGTCTCATTCGGATTAAATCTGTTTTTAAATCAATTTAATCAAATCCATCGGGAACTTTAATTGCGTTATTATAATTTACTTTAATTGCATATCGAATTAAAAAAAATACTTAATAGAAATGGTAATTTTTTCATTTAATAACGTTTGTCATTTTCAGGAGAGAGCAAACAGCAACTTATTTTCGCAAAAAAAATGTCGTAGTCGATTCAAACTAGTGTTTTTTTTCTCTCCAAGTAAAACTATCGTTCCGTGTATAATTAATTACGAGCTAATTGGCTTAAAAAATGTATAGACTTTTTTTTCGTTTCAATGGCATAGTGCAAGAGGTTTTCACGTTTAAAAATAAATGTAACATGTGTGCGCAAGGAGGCAATGCAATGTGCAACGTGTCCAAATGAACCACATCATCAGATGAGCGCATTCTCCCGTGCAAACACAAAATATCCATAACGTTCAAAATATGATGTTGTTTTTTTTTTCCCTCTTTTCAAATTAAATCAGTTGACAATTATTTCAAATGGTGATGCACCTACACTTACATGTCATCTGTTTAATCACACAACCGTAACAAGAAATTATCAACAACAATAACAACAACAAAAATGCTCCATGATACCCGAGAGATGATGGGCTCAGTCAACTTCTGAGCATGATATGAACTCGCGATCTTTTCATTACGAGTCTAAGCAATCTAACCGAAGTGTCATCCATCGAATGTATATAGTCGACTCTCGATTATCCACGTGCGATTTATCCAATTGCGGATTAACCGCGCACCTGAGATATTTTTTAACATGAATTAATAACTCATTGATTTTCTCTTAAGTCCAAATTAATCATCTAAGAACTGTTCTACGTTGTTATTCTTGGAAATGTTTCATTACAAGTCACATGCTTAAACCAAACAAATATGTGCGACGGTTTATCTAAAATCCACGTGATCGCCTCTACAATACAGTAGTTGCATATCGTGACTACAGAGTTTGGTTGATGTTGATTGGCATAGCTCTGCTATCCACTTAGTGGGCGGGCTCTTCTGCGTGCGAGTAGAAAAGCGTCATCACTGAACATGGGCATCGATCGGTTGATCGTTAGTACTCTACATCGAAAGAGTAATTTATCCAATCATTTTTTTCGTGAGTTTTAATTTACGGCTATGTTAGTGGTTTTGGGTATCGAGAATGCTTATATTTTTGGATAATCCGCAATTTTTAATTATCCGCGACCGTTTTCCCCGTCATTAGCACAGATAATCGAGAGTCTACTGTATGTAGATATAATTATTAGTATTATTACAGCTCTACATATATTCAAGAAAGCCTCACTGTGTTGCGAGAGAGCTGTGGAATGTTTGGACAACTCGTAGTTAAATCTGCAAAATGAAATGTTGATGAAGAATGGTGGAGTAGCGGCCAAGGAGTGGAACGCATCGGAGAAGACATCCAGAGAAGGAGGCAACGATGGACGCAGCTCATCATCCACAGGCCGCCAGGTGAACGGTCACCTCCATCACAGAACCGTGAGAGACGGTGAACAACTTGGTGGAGACTTTCATCCGGCAGTTTATCGATGGTGACGACGTTGATGATGGCGGTGGATACGATGAGTGGCCGTAACATCTCGCCGTGGTTGGCAAGATGTTAACTGCCTCGCCTGGTATGCAGGAGGTCGGCGGGTTCAATCCCGACACTGATGCCTGCTGTATATTTGGAGCGTGTATGCTTTCCCAATGGTTGAGTGGCTCTTTCACTGGGTCTTCCGGTTTTTCCCTCCACATTTAGAATCAACATTCGTTCAGAGTATTTGGGTGATATAAATTTATACGTGATAAGCCACTTCGTCAAGCTATTATTTGTGGTCGCTTCTGAAAAAGAGCTACTGTGTATAGCTCAGTGGGCTTTACCTGGTAAAATAAAAATAGTAAAATAAAACTGTTGAACTTCTTTGGCACCGTACGTAGACAAAAGTGCTAATCGGAGGTGCGGGAGAAGGAAAAAAACAAATAAACACAAAAAAAGCAGTTCTAAAGAAATTAGATTTTTTTTTTTTAAATCTCTCTCCACCTTTGGCTTCTTCTTTCTCATTCGGTGAATGCGGGCGGCCAGTTGCACGGTCGACAGCGTCTCGGGGTAGTGTGCGGCCAGCGGGGACACGTGGATGATCATTGTGGTGCGGCAGTTGATGTTCCCGAGTGACTCTCGGAGCAGCATTGTCAGCTTGCTGTCTCTAAACACACAGGGATCACGTGTGAGCGCACGGGGGGGGGGGGGGGGGGGGGGGGGGGGGGGGTGGGGGGGGGTGAGGGACGTTAACGTTACACAGTCAAAGAAAATCGTTATTAAGTCGCGGTACATACATTTAAGTGAACACGTGGGTTTTCGCAGCCGTAATTACGATTAAGGAGACCGAGAGTAAAAATTGCGGATGGTAATGGATGACAGTGGTTGGTGATGCCAATATGAGTCAACGTACATGCTGCAAGCAAGACCGACCAAGTTTGTGGATCAAAAATGTGCCCGAGATCAGAGTATATCGATACAGAATTGACCTTACACTACAGCTGAAAGAATTGCCCTTAAAATATTAATTCCCACACTGCCTGTATGTAGACTGGAGGTAATGTAGCCTACAGCTATTCAAGATCAGTGTTTCAGGAGCGATGCGTTACAAAAGACAGGTTGGGAGCTTTTCGCCAATATCAAAGTATGACATTAAAAAAAATATAGGTTTTAGCCTTCCTAGCAATAAAACAGTTGTGTTAAGATGTTTAAACACCAAATATAAATCTTTTGCAAAGGAATCATGTCTGCATTAACCACACGTACTTGTGGTGAACATGCAAACAAATTTGCTCTGATAATATATGGGCATTGTCTTTGAAACTGGGGTGAGCTGCTCACGCCGAGCTATGAATGTCCTGATAGTGGCATTGTCCTGGTACTGCTCTGGTCTGACACTGGTGAGACTAGGCCATGAAGAAAGCTGTCGCTGGTGTAAGCAAATCAGTTTCAAAGGCAATGCCCATATATAATTATCAGAGCATGTTTGTTTGCATGTTCACCACAAGCACGTGTGGTTAATGCAGACGTGATTCCTTGCGAAAGGTTTCTCTATGGTGTTTGAACATCTTAACACCACCTGTTTCATTGCCAGAAATGGCAAAAACCTATTCGTACAAAAGACATGTTGCTGACACTTATTCACCAAAGGCGGAAGCCATAATCCTATCACACTGCTCTGATTCCAGTGCGTAATTGATGGTGGAAATTTCCATGCTCCCCCGACAGAGGCGATCCTCATATCAACTACGCCGGAGCTGTGAGGTAATCAGCGTCGACCGCCGAAGCAGGAGTCGATCTCGAGCCCTTCCCATTGCGAGATTGAGTCTCTCGAAGGGCACAGCAACCCCACGAGCCGAAAACGGCCGTCAAGCCGTGGTGTGCGTCTCTCTCGCTCGTGAAAAAAAACCACACCGGGGAGTGGGACTTTCAGGACAAGCTGCAAACGCCGCACCTCAGTACGTCCGCGCTGAGACACTCCTCGGTGGCAAATGCACTCCGGCTGATGTGATAGAGCCCCGTGAAATACGCCCTGTGCCTGCTAGGACCCCACCCTCTCACCCCCCCCCCCCATCTCGCTATGTGCCGCAATTTTGCCAAAGTGATTCCTCCTCCCGATTCCATCGCCGCTCGGTCGACGGCTCGATCGACTGTGGCCGAGGCGCTCAATAGGGGTGCGTTGCCGGCGCATTGACGTTCGTGTACCCTGATTGCGGGCTGTTATACAGCGGCTGTCAGTCCTGATGTCTCCTTATTGATTCAGAGCGGTCGGGGCAGACGGGGCCCGGCGCCCTTGCTAAATAAAATCTTTATCGGTGGGTCCACTCCCTCGCACCGACCGCCCGACCCAAGACTCCCCGCTAGCCGCTCGCCCGTCACCCACATCGGTTCCGCTAGCGTGGTTATATCGTTTGTTGCTCCGCATCCACACCCTCCCCCCCCCCCCCTCCCTCACCACCATCCCTCCTCAATATATGTTCAGGCTTCACTCCCTGCTCCTGCCAAGCTAAGGCATGGTATGAGCACATTAAGTAAAGGTTAAACACCTAAAGGTGCACCCCTGAAATTGCTTGCTCACGCCACTGCTGGTGAAAGCCTCTCCCCTCCCTCTCCCACCACCTATAATAGGGCATTTGGCCTTCTCTTCCACGCTTGGAAGAGGTAGGAGTAACCGCACTTTGCCAAACGTGACGTGCCGGTGTTCCAATGTACACCTCTGGGTGAACATATTAGAAGGGGGTTAGAAAGAGTAGTCCATGCTAGAAACTTGGCGTCTGTGCGATGCTGCTCAACTCGCACGCAGCGCACGTAACCGATTCTCAGGGGCCAATCTGACATGCGCATCACGGGCGTAGGGATCGCCCTTGAAAATGTGCGAACTGGCGCATTGCCACGGGGCTCACGAAGGTCAAATGGGCGCTGACCCTCAACACCTCGCAGCGGCGTCCGCACGCTGCACAGAGCACAGCCGCTGTGCCTACAGGGTGCACCTCCTTTGCCTCGCAGGCAAAAGTTCACTTGCATCCCGGTCCGTCCAGGTGAAGCATTTCCTCACCTGGCACACTACATCCAGTATACCTCTGGCTACGGCTGTGGCTTACTGCTAGCCACATATTCAGAATTAAAGTCGACCAGTGAGGCGGAAATATATTCGGTGAGAAATAAAGCCACCGCAGTCAGCAAGGCGGAACGTTTGCCATCGCGTTATCTCCTTAGAATGCGAGGAGCTATCCAGCTCTTTTTCACAGTTGTCCAGTCGGGGGCCACGTGCTCACAACGTGACAACAACGAACGGTCCCCAGAGCACACGACGGGAGCGCAAAGTGACGGCGACGGCACGCGGCGTGAGCCCTGTGGAACGAGAACACTGCCCGGCGTGAGTCTGCCGCAGACTTCAACTGCCGGGGGAGCCAAACCCCCCGCCGGGACCTCCGCGGTGCCCCCCCACCTGTACGGGATGTGCTTGGCGCCATTGACGAGCGCCAGGATGACGTTGCCGAGGGAGGAGAGGGAGAGCGCGGGGCTCTGAGAGGCGCCCCGGCTCGGCACCGGTCGTTCGCAGCTGCCCAGGTCGATGAGGTGGAGTCGGCTCCGCCCGCCCGTCACTGCGCGCGCGCGAGCGAGGACGTGGGAGTTTTTTTTTTTCATTACGTTCGTTTGCCGCTGGGGTTATTACCGAAGCGAGGACGGCACGACGGCTCGCCATCGATGCCCTCCCTTCCGCTGAAATCGCGCTGCTGTTAGCCTGTTACTGCAACCGGGTTTCCAAAAGTGCACCCACGTTAGTCACATCAGCTTCACGTCTTTCCCTTATGGCATGTCCCACCACCATCATCACCCCCCCCCCCCATCCCCCCCCTTCTTTTCCACCAGCATGAGTTGCAGTCAGGGTGCAGGTGAGTTTTGCGCTGGATATTTACCGGCCTCTTAAAGACATCTTAAATCTGGCTCGACGCCAAGCAAGTGGTGGAGTCCAAGCAAACTAAGTAACCACCATTGCCTTAGAATCTGTGGAAGTGTAGTGCTCTATACACATGCAGATTATCGTTATATATTGTTAAGGTAGCCGGACAGAGTGCTGACCACACCACCCTCTCGTGTGTGGGTGAAATCGATTCCCTTCCCTTCCAGCAACAAATTCGCTTCGCTTGCTTGCGGCGCCTCTAGCAAGCGAAGCGGCCAGGCGGCCCGGTGTCACCAACGTTCCCCGGACTCACTGCCGCCCTTGCCCGTCTTGTCCATGCGGTACTGGTACACGTGCAGGGTGAAGAGCATGTGCGCGCTGCGCCGCTCCTCCTCGCAGTCGGGCCGGCCCGACCTCCTCGCCGCCAACGCCGCGTCCAGGTAATAGGCGGCCATCTCGGGGGTCGGGGCCCGCAGCTCGTTCTGGTTCTGCAGCTGCGCCGGACGGGCGATAGGCCGTCAGCACGGCCGGATGGCAAAGATCGGCGATCGGCGGCGGTTGTGGGTCCGGGAGTGGAGGGGGGGGGGGGGGGGGGGAGGAGGCACAGGTGTCGGTGGTACTGCCATTTAACTGTTTCAGTTTTAGCAGTTGAGGCCCCGCTGAGCTGTAGAGCTATCTTTCAGAAGCGATCTCTGGCTATCACGAATGATAGCAGGCAAATGCTCTGAAAGTGTGTCGTTGATTCGAAATGTGGGGGGGGGGGGGGGGGGGGGGGGAAGCCGGAGGACCCGGAGAAAATTCCACGTGACCACCATGGGCAGAGACAACATGCAAACTCCAAATATGCAAGCGTCACGGTCGGGATCGTACCCATGACCTCCTGCATACCAGGCGAGGGAGATCACATTCGCCACTGTGGCTCCCTGATACAGGCTAAGGGGGAGGATGTTGAGTCAATACGAGCGGTGTGCAAAGTCTATTTTCTTATTCATGCAACAATGCATCCGTTTATCGATTAAAATGGATTTTTAAGACTTCAGATACATGCACGCATCTATTTGTGCATAATGTAAGGGATCAAATGATACGCAAATTGCACACAAATGTTACCTTTAGGCAATGGAGCTTCACAAATGAGACAGAATAAAACATAAGAGGTACAAGAAGTGGTTTAAAATGAGTAAAAAAAATATAACTTGGCAGGGAGTGGGGGGGGGGGGAGACTGTGGGAGGGTAAGCCAGTGGTGGAAACTCCACATTTTCCTGGCAGGGCCAATCTCCCATCGAATAGCATAAAGCCACCGGTCATTTTCCTTAAAGGGGAGGTCATTTGAATACATCCCTGCTGAGATCCTGTTACAGGTCAACACCTGACCGGGACGCGCTTTGACCCGGCGAAATTCCCCCCCCCCCCCGTCGACGAACCGACCGTTCTACCAAACCGCACCCCGGAAAGGCAACCGCAGACCGCACGGACCGACGCCGATAGCGCCCCAACAACCGAACAGCGCCGGCAATGACTGCGGCGGGCAACGGCGGCGCCGGTGGAGGCAACTCGTCGACGGGCGCGGGGATGCCGAAGAAGACGACGTCGCCCCGTGGGGATCAGCACCTGCGTGCCGAAGATGGGGTCCTCGCGCAGGTAGATGCCGGGTGACTGGCTGCCGGAGTCTGCGCCCCGGCCCGTGGCCACGTCGGCGAGGAGGTCCTGCAGCTGCTCGTCCTTGCCCCACAGCTCGACGGCCGAGACGCGCACGGAGAAGCGGGCGCCGGCCCTCTCGCGCCGCTCCTCGATCAGCCGGTAGAGCCAGGAAACGGCGCAGGGCATGACGCCCAGGCTCTGGGGGCCGTCGTCCCATCCCAGCATGGTGTAGGACTTGCCTGCCGACGAGCACAAAGACCGGGGGGAGGGAGTGGGGGTGGGGGGGGGGGGGGTTCATTGCTGCGCTAGTGCCCGAGGAGGGGAAAGCGTTCGCACGGGCCGGGGTCTGGCTGTCTCGGCAGCGGGCGTCACTCAATTTGACGACGTCCAAAAGGTTGTCGTCCCCCCCCCCCCCCCCCCCCCCCCCCCCTTTCAATCTTGCGTCAGGTCAGTGGTCACTTTTTGAACGCTGCTGGTGGCCCCCACACCTCGTTCATTGCTTCCTCCCTTCCTCCTTCCCTTCCTTCTGCCAGATCGTGCAAGTGTTGTGCACTGGGCACCGTTTGATGCCGAAAACTTTGAGGGTCTGCTCCAATTGTGTTGGCACCAGGCCAACAGTGTGCACACCTGTTGTCTGTATTGTGCATGTATATGTCTGCATATATATGCATGCATTAGTGTGCCTGTCTATCTTTGCCTATGCCCATGTGCAAGGCACGACTGCTGCACCTCGGCTGGTTACCACCATCTGGCTGTCGAGGTCATTGTTCTTTTTCCTAGGTTGCCTTGGCCTTGAGCGAGCACACGGTGTGTGGGCATCAGTGCCCACACACGTACATCATCGGAGTGGAATCGGAAGAAAAAAATCTAACATGATTACTTTTTAGGTACCGTGCGGCTATCGTGCAGTGCGATCGTGTCGCTAGTCCACTACGGTGAGCACTATGCCTTCACAAACATTGGCGCTACGCCTTTATGAACAAAATGAACGCTGAACCGCTCGCGTGTTCCGAGATTCAGCGCCGGACGGGACCCCGACCCTGCAACTTGCAGACGTCTCGGCAGGGGAATGAGATTATAATCCGTGCCCCCCCCCCCGCCCTGCCCACCCCTAACTGCACCCGCGTCAATGTGCGTGCACGGCTACTGACGGTGCGCGTGGGAACGCATTACCGAGCTGCGCGTGCCCGAAGCAGAAGACGCATCCGTCGGCGCCGTTCACGACGGACTGCACCACGTCCGCCACCGTGCCGGCGCACACTTCGGCCTGCGGCGAGCGGCACACAGAGAGAAGGGGAAAGGAGGCGGAGGGGGAAAAGGTCAACCCCGGCGGAAAGGTGCCGTCGCAGCAACGGGCGAACGCTCGGCTCTGCTTTCGGAAATTCGAAAACATCGCTGCAGTGCGCATCGACTTCCTGCTGACGTCTCGACCATCGAACTGCGTTGCGGCAGATGACAATTGCGGAGTGTCTGATGGCGCCGCTGGTTTTGCGCTTATAAATGCTCGGTAGTGGGTGCGGCTAGTTTATCAACTTGAGGTGTGTTTTTGCTAATCATTTGTAGTGGTCAGCAGTTGGCGCACTGCACAACAAAGCACAGCCAACATCGGCGGCGAATTATATATTTTGAAATCTAGCTTGAAAAGCTGTGTTTAGTTTGTTTGTCCTTCCACCGAAACACCTTCGTATGGTGCGAAATAAGTTAAACGTGCAATTTACTCTCCGCAACTTCCGAACTGCGCTCGGGCTGCCCCCTCCCCCATCCCGTGCCGTACCGGCATGACCGGTACGGCACGGGATAGAGGCCTCCTTCATCCGGCAGTGGATTATCAAACGACTCTCAAGTGTTGCTGTTGCTAATGACTGATTTGAAAGGTGAAAATTATTCATGAACTGAGTTAACTTTTTTCGGTAATGTTTCTTGGTTCTCCAGTCTCCTGAGAAAAGGGAGCTTTCACTTTGGAATGAAATTAATGCAAAAATAAATACTCCGTACGTGCATATGTGTTTGATTGCTGTTATGAAGGTGAGTATGATTACAGAAAAGTTTGTTTAATAAATTTTAAGCATATTAATTTATTTGAACAATGGGTTTGTGAAAATGTTGCATTGAATATGACAGCCCACGTTAATGTATTAAACATTAATAGTTGGAATAATATCGGCTTCCTTTCTAAACGTTGTCCCATTATCATGTTTAAAAAAATTGCGTGGATTTTTCACGAAATCACACGAATCGGTTTGGCTTACAATTAAACCCGTTCACGCAGTTAAAATTTGCATTAATTTGACGGCGATAAGAAGTGATCACTTCTGCAAGGTGCTTCAGCAGATTTCTAAAAGTTGAGCTCATTGCTGTAGCCATAATGCACACTTGTCCTGGGCCAACATACTTTGAATTTAAATGGCTTTATGCTCACAGTGCGGCCGGTCAAATAAAAAAATATATAATCGAATGATTCTAATTAAATAATCACACCTGTTAAGCTTCCCCGACTTTTTTATTCTTCTTCTGCTTCCTCCAATTTTGAATGAAGGCTCCCCGATCTCAGTGCCGGTTTCCCCACAGAGATTGGAAATAATCTCGATTTAAATTTACGTTAGCGGGGAAAAAAATTAAATAACGTAACTGATTAAAATTGCATTAGCATTCCTGGTGGGACACCACACATTGTGTTATGCATATATAGTGGCATATACTTGACTGGCTGTTAGTAATAAAAAAAAGTGTATATGTATTACATGCATACAAAGACAAAAATCCCCCGTATAGCCTGAGCAGACTGCAGGAGGAAGTGCTGTTCGCTAGTAGCACCTATGAAGGCCGGCATGGCACACGAGGGGGTGGGTGGCAGAGCACCACGCCCGGTCGCCTTTGTCTCCCCAGTGGCGACGTTTATACATCGCACGAGGTACTCATGTTAAGGCTGAGTCGACCTCGCGGAGGCCCAGGACTGGTTCAGATAATCGTCACTGGCGTTGGCCGCGAGCAGGAATCGAACCCAGGCCGCCAGGTTCGTAGGGAGCGGTAGTGTAGTTACCTGTTGGGGCAAGTGCTGTTAGCGAGCACCTATGAAGGCTGGAATGGTACACGAGGGGGTGGGTGGCCAGCACCACGCCCGACCGCCTTTGTCTCCCGAGTGGCGATATTTATACACCGCACCAAATACTCATTCGAGGCTGAGTCGACCTAAGGGAGGCCCAGGACTGATTCAAATATTCGTCACTGGTGCTGGCCGTGCAATCGAACTCGGGTCACCAGGTTCATAGCGCAGCGCGCTAACCGCTACTCTACCACACACATACACACACAGATATATGAATGTCATTGTTCACAACCGTAGGCTATGACATTTTTAAAAGACAAATTAATTAAACAAACGCGAACATTTAAAAGCACATGTTAGGAGAAACCTAATTTATATAAAAAAAGAAACGTATCCATTTATTATATACATATAAATATATTGCTGTATGTAGTTCATTAAGTAGTTACACGAATTCTGCGTGTATGTTGAACTTATTTTGCATCGTACGTAGCCAACCGTGATAATCAGAGGTGCAACTTAATCATTAATACTTAATAATTGTGCAATCGGCGTCGGTGGACTTAAAATACAAATCTGATCATAAATGGGACATGGCAGCTGTATTTATTATATTTTTACCCTGAGCAGGTACACACTTTAACTTTTCCAAGTGAACCATACACTTCATCATCATCGGCAGCCATGATCCTGCAAACGAGCTGATTTGATCACGTCAGAGGTTGACGTCCTCTCCGGATACGTTCCGTTCCTTGATTGCCACTCCATGATCATTCTCGACCATCATCGTCATCATCATCCTTCCAAGAGAGCCATCCTGCCCAAAGCCGACTTTGCTTTGAATGCCATCAATAATCTGCATGTGTTTGTTCTCTCGATGCAATTCCAAGAAGCTGTACACTACCCGAGTAAATTTGACTTCGGCAGGCAATTATCGGCTGATGTACGGATGTATGTTGAACTCCCACCGTGTTAATCGGAAGTGTGCGGCAAGGATAACAAACTAAACACAAAAAGCAGTCCTAAAGAAATGCGTTCACAATTTAAAAGTGCACAGCTCCAGTGCCTTCCTAACATCGGACGACAGAGCATTCCAGACGGTCGCAGACCAGAAGCACATCTGAAAGCGCGTGATGCAGTATGTAGGTACGTTGAAATCTTTCACACCGTACGTAGCCAACCGTGCTAATTGGAGGTGCGGGGGTAAGGATAGCAAGTGACCGTCTTTGTTCGATGGCCAGCCAAAAAACCGATGAGGCCCAGAGGGAGCCGCGGCACCACACCTGTGAAGCATCTTGGCAGAAGACGCCGTCGAAGGCAAACATCTTGGGTGCCAGCACCCCGGTGCGACGCGCAAGGGGGCTCAGCAACCCGTTCGGGGGGCTGGGGTCCTGGAGGATGATTTGCCCCTTGTTCCCATCCACCCTCAGGAAGGACGAGGACGAGGGGGAAGAAGAGGTAGAGGAAGAGGCGTCGAGATCCCTGTCCGTCCAGCTGTGCGACGGGCAGATGCGCAGCATCACCTTTACCTGCGCGTGGTTCGTGTTGCGGAGGGCGGACGGACGGACGGATGCCGGGGCGACATTCGGTGACGGCGGTGGCGATGGGTGCCAGAGGCGGTAGCGGCGACAGTGCCGGTGAAGGTGGCGGCAATGGTGGCGGTGGCGGTGGTAATGTTAATGATGGGAGTTGATGCAGGTTATTGTGCAGGGGGGAAGAGTAATTGCAGAGTGAAGAAAACAAGTTAGAATTAAGCAGACGTTTGCACAATAAATCCGGTGAACCGTGAACACCACCCCAAAGCCTTGTTGTTTCAAATGCCATGCACTTTGTTTCTTATAACAGCTCCATTCCTCCTTGCCCTATCAGCATCGCTGGTAAAAGGCTTTATTGACCCAAAACTTTCATTAACTTGTCTTTGGCCCCAAGTTTAAATGACCTTATTACGTGAGCTGTCTGTACCTGTTACATTAAGTGATTAAAGTTGGAACAAAGTCTGCATTGATACATCGCGCAATTTATGTTTGCAACAGTGTGAATGCGCTTGCATGTGATGAAAATGCACACGGGCTTAAATCAAACTCTCTATGTAACGTCACATTAAGTACAGCATGAGGGGAAAACATTAAAATGTCGTTATTTTGGTTTCAACCTCTCGTGCATCCACAGACGATGCAATAAGTTTCACGTTGCTGTAAGAGAAATGCATCACCTGATGGAGTGACTGGCCACCGTCCATGAGAATGTCACATTTCCATAACTGGCTCAGGGCTGATTATGGTAACATGAGAGTGAGCCACAGGGGTCGGTCATATGAACAGGGAGACACTGTGACCCGCAACTTTTTAAATGGCATCATATTTGTTCGTGAATATTAAATGCAGCCTTACGACTTTGAGACATATAATGGTATGACTGAAACATTGTAACAATCAGTTTAACACGTAGGCTTTTGCGACCAATATCATCCACGATCGAGGTTTTTTTGGGTTAGATCGCGTAACAATACCCACCCAATGCCTCCTATAATTCCAAGAATGTACAGCCCGTTGCTAATCCAACCACCGGATGAAGGCCTCCCCACACTAAGTGTTGGGTTGTTTGACCATACTTCACCGCTGCCCATTAGCGTGGGTCGGTGAAGCGAAGGGGGGGGAGGGGGGGTGATGATCCGGTAAAGATGTCCACGGCTGGGAAAAAAAAGTATCAAATTCTAATTCGCCAGGTGTGTGAGCACAACGACAGAGCCACCGCTCCCCCACCGACATTCTCTCGGAGAGGCTAAATATTAACATCAACCACAAGCCCGGAGAGAGAAAACACAACAACAACAACAGCGGTGATGGCAGCAGCAGCAGCGCTAAAATAAGGGAGGCATACGTGCTGCAGGGTTGCGATGTAGCATCAGGATTAACGAGCATGTATACAAGTAATTACCAAATGAGTAATGACCGGCTCCCAACGCTCCTGGCATAAAGTATTGACGTTCGCTGGCTTTGGGTTTTGGTGTGGGACCGGGGTGGAGGGGGAGCCTGGTTGGTGAATAGGAACCGGCGCTACATTATCCACATTAGCGCTCATTCGTGAAATAACCCAGCACGGTTGTGGGGGTGGGGCTGGGGGGCAAGTCGCAGAAACCCCCCCCCCGCCCCCTTTTTTTCCTGCCAGTTTCCTCTTCTGTCTTTCTTTCTTTCAAATTGTTTTGCAGATGCATAATAAAGAAAGCCCACAGGGAAATTTAGAAGCGCAAATGTTTGCTTTTTTTTAATGGTGATAATCCAAACGTATTTTATTTCATAGGTAAGATAGGAATTTAAATTGAAGGTTTTTTTTTCATAAAACAAACGCTAATGTTCAAAGGGGAAAACTGAATTTAAAAAGAGTGTACGTTTCGCTCTTTGACATATTACTGTGCATTATTTACTTACTGGCATTAATATTTGGCCGATATTTTATTATCACTTGAATAGCTTTTCAAATTGCCAAAAATAAAGACACCAATTGTAAGATTTTTCATAGAGCTGGCAAATGCTGTAAAACACACATAATTTCGTTTCTTAAACACGTCATATAATTTACAAATGGATATCGCATCTGCGTATCTGTCACCCGTGATCTATCCACAGAGACAATGTTAATGCAATAAAAATGATAATTGATTCAAAACCCTGTACGCTAAAACTTTTCAATACATCGCACAAATAATTCAACAAAGACAAAAATCCACCGTATGGCCTTAACACACTGTACGGGACAAGTGCTGCTAGCAAGCACCTATGAAGGTCACCACGGCGCACAAAACGGTGGATGGCCAGCACCACGCCTGTCCGCCTTTGTCTCCCTCGTGACGATGTTTACACACCGCACCAGGTACTCATTTGATGCTGAGTCGACCTAGGACCGGTTCAGATAGTTGTCATTGGCGTTGGCCGTGAGCGGGAATCGAACCCGGGTCGCTAGGTTCGTAGCGCAGCGCGCTCACCTGCTACACTACCGCTCCCCATTCACTCACACGCACGCACACGCGCAGATCTACACGTGTACAAAAAAATGGTTCTAACTTCACATTATTCTACAACACTGGCTGGGGGTTTATGTTTTTTACATCGTCCGTTGTGATTGATCAATTCTAACTGCTGGGGTTGGCACTGCGGTCAAATAAAGCTATTGATTTTCTCGGGCTCGCCCCGAGTGTACCCCTACCCCGCTCCTCTCCTCCCCGAGCGCTGGCATATGGAAATAAGGTCCCAGACTCCGAAGCCATAATTCTGTCACCTGAGTAGACCCCGCGGGTCAGCCACGGCTGACACGTTTATGCTGCCCCGCGTGAAATATGCCCCCCCTCGACGCCTCCCCGCGGCACGGAATCACCCATACACTCAGCGGCAAATGGGCACAGCGGGACCGTTGAGCTTCCTTTAACGGCCAGCTTCGGCTCAGTAATGAGATATAAAATAGAATAATTAATAAAGAATCTGTAAAAAAAATCCCGGAACGAGCCTTCCTGCTGAATCATAGGCGCCACTTCATGTCCTCCATTCCCCTCGATCTTTTATAACACACAACAACAACCGCCATTCGCCACTAAGTGGCGGTGACGTCACCACACACACACACGCGCGCACAATGAGACAAGAAACACCGCGATTGTTCACCGATCATTGGGAGGCCCTCAAACATCGTCTCGCGTGCGCTTCTCTTCACGAGATGCGCGCGAACGTGTGCGTGCGTTAACATGCACGTGTCGATGACGTTCGTCGATGACGTTCTTAAATATGTTGGCAGCATTAATGACAACGAACAAACGCCCTCCGTATAACTGGCGAAGGCCTCACTGAATCCCAAGACTATTTTTCAAGGGAGTCCTCTCATGTGATGTTTGGCATATTCATTATATGAAATTAATTTTAAGGAACAGTTAAGGTATACTAGCAATTGTGTGATGTGATTTGGTTTTTGACAGCATGTAATATGACATGATGGCATGTGAACGTTTTGTTTATATGGTGAGACCTTGATTTAATAATTTTCAGAGGACCGCCCAAACTGAATGTTAGTTTTCGATTTAAAGCTTTCGTGACTGCAAGGATTCATCTTCTTTGGTTCTTTCGGTAAAGTCACGTAGAATGAGAATAAAATAATAAATTAATAAAATAAAAAACAATAACATTCTCAATATTTTATTTTTATTAATGTATTATTTTATTCTCATGTTAGTTGTGGGGAAATCTTTAATCGGAGAACACCAACTGTCAATAAGTCAATTAGGAACTTTAAACGTTGAATGTTCGATGCAGAAAAATATTAGATACAGGAACTTTATAAATGAGGTGGGTACAATAAAAACTAAATGTAGCTTTGGCAATGTGGCACAGACACAAATGTTTAAAAGAAAAACACTGAAAAAAACACACCCCATGGCCCTAAAAGGAAAAATATAATATAGCTGACGTTTTAGTCAATTACCCTACTTCATAGCACATACATAGAGAGGCCATAGAGATAGAGTGGATAAGAAGAGTTAGAGACTACACTTTAAAGATGAATACAATTTAAAATAGCACCTGAATAGTTACCTATTTTAACTACAGTAATAGGCCTGCATTTCAGAGGGGGAAAACATCCCAACATTGTTGCTCCTTATGAAAAATAAGAATAGGTTTTACCCTTTCTGGCTATAAAACAGGTGTTAAGATGTTCAAACACCAACAATAAACCTTTTTCAAGTAATCAAGTCTGCATTAAACACACACGTACTTCTTCTTTGGTTCTTTCGGTAAAGTCACGTAGAATGAGAATAAAATAATAAATTGATAAAATAAAATAACACAACACGTGACTTTACCGAAAGAACCAAAGAAGATTAATCCTTGCAGTCACGAAAGCTTTAAATCGACACACGTACTTGTGGTGAACATGCAAAACAAACATGCGCTGATAATATCGTCAGTTTCTCCTAACTCGGTCTAATTTCAATCATCAGATTGATTTTTATTGTGATGACGAAAACGACAGCACGTGGCAATGCATTTAATATGACGACGTATAACCAGAGCGTCATAAAACATCACACTTTGTTTGACCCCTCCCCCCCGCTACAATAGAATGACAAAAAACAACGGTGAACGGAGTGCAACATGATGTATCGCCAGGTCGGTTGTAGAACTGGTGGCAAGCGATGATGATGATGATGACCAACCTCACTCAATAAGCGATGATGATGACCAACCTCACTCAATAAGGCTGCGCGTGAGGCATGGGGGTGGTCTGAGGATTATTTTTTTTACTGAAATAAACACAAGGAATCTAACGGATCGATAAGCGAAGACGCATCGCAAAAGAGGCAATTGAATATATTGTTGCGTGCCGAGGAATCCATAAGAATATTCAAGTATTCAATTAAAGAACAACATACCTTACGTAAAACATTATATATAGGTGTTGTTTGTGTGGTGGTGGCTCAGTAGTCCCTTGCCACTGCACTACGAACCCGGCGACCCGAATTCGATTCCGGCTCACGGCCAACACCAGTGCCGATCTCAAATGAGGCTGTGTGTGTAAACATCGCCACTGGGGAGACAAAGGCGGTCGGGCGTGGTGACGGCAACCCAACCACTCGCGTGTCATGCCGGCCTTCATAGGTGCTCCTCGCTAACAGCACTTGTCCCAACAGTCTGCGAAGGCTATACGGGGGATCTTTGCAGCCGCTTGCACATTGCGCCACCATCCCACGAGCTGGCTTCAACTTCATGGCCAAACAAATGGCTCGCAAATGGTAATTAAACCATGAAGCTGAACTTGTTGTGGGCCTCCTCTGGGCCAACTGAGGCTTACGAATGAGTACTTAGTTTGGTGTGTGAACATCAGCACTGGGGAGACAAAGACGGCCAGGATTGGTTTTCGGCCACAACCTCCCTTTGTGTGCGCTGCAGAGTCGAAATCATCTTTCTGCACACCGATTAAAATTGGTTTATAAGCCTGCAATCGATTAATCGAATAGCGTGTGTAGGCATATATGCTTATTTATTCATATATAGACGCTGCTGCGTGTGTTGGGTTTACTCGACTCCACGAGCGGCTGTTGTATTCACCACAGTAAATAAACAAAAAGAGAGGCTCTTCCTGAATCCAATCACAACCCTCGATTCGTGACAATGCAACGAATCTCCGTGCAGGTGGAGCGCCTTTGTCGGTACTTGCTAACAGCACTTCTCTCGATGGTCTATTTAGAGCAAATGGTGGACCTGTGCATGTATTTTGGTTTTTTATCGCCATACAAAACATCGATTCAAATAAATACACACCGCGTTTCTGCACGAAATGCCCACACGCCAAATTGCGCAAATGCACTCTGAATCGTGGACTGTTACTAAGACAGGGATTGAACAAAAGCCGGCAGATACTTGAAGTGAGTCGATACGTGCAACGCGTTTGTTTTTTCGTCTGCAAATGAGACTATCCTCTTCTCCAAGTTCTCACCTGGTTAGACAAATTACACTTGAACCTGCCGAGGGTTCTAAGTAGAAAACTTGAAAATGAGGTGGGATGAAAGAGCCACTTGAAGTATGTATTACAAAGAGCAAAGCCAAGTAAAAAAAAAACTTATAATGGGTACAGCGACCGAGGGAGGCAAACGTTTTTGGCCACGTGATGAGACAATGGCACGTGGACGTCTTGTGCATTACGGGTGAGATGGAGGGCAAGAGATCAAAGGAAAGACAAAGTATCTGGACAACGGATTGAAGCGGTTTGTTTACAAGGACTGACAGACAGGTGGTGGCACTAACAATGAGGGACAGGAAGAGATGGAGATCCAAGGCTGTCAATTCCCCCATTGGGGATGATATATGATGACAAAGACAAAGATCCCTCCGCATAGCCTAAACAGGCATTTGGGTCAAATGCTGTTCGTGAGCGCCTTTGATGGCCGGCATGGCACACGAGGGGGTGGGTGGCCAGTAGCACGCCCCGTACACCTCTGTCTCCCGCGTGTCAATGTTTATACATTTGAGGCCGAGTCGACCTAGGGGAGGCTGAGGACGGTTCAGATAATCGTCGCTGTTATTGGTCATGAGCGGGATTCGGTCGCTGGGTTCGTAGCGCAGCGCCTTTACCGCTACACTACCACACATGATGACACTCGCACACATACATACACTCGTGTGTGTATGTGAGATCATCCGCAGGAGTAGGTCATTACGCTCCATAGTAATATCAACAATATCCACCACTTGTTAATCACCTGCAACTCAAGTGTGAACTAAATTATACCCCTGTGCATATTGCCGTGATTATGGTGGAATGCCTCGCGAAAACAGATAGGGGAATCTAAAGTGACGGTGTACATGGCGACCGGATGAGAGAACAATACATGATTGCATTAATTCGTGTAATTGGTTCATTAAGCATTTAATCTGTATACTCTGCTGCATTCGTTGACTGCACACCTTGAAACAGCTGCGCGTGTGCACGCGCTTAAGGACAGGCCCAGTCTCCGTGCATGCGATCACTTCAATAAGCAATCAATGGAGCTGGAAATGCATTCGCGAGCATATCTTTGCTTTTCATTATTGCAGCAACTGCCGGTGCCTGTTGGTTTTGTAGACTTGGCTCCCAGATGGATTGCAGTTGGCTACAATTGTGGTGTAAACACGAGAGCTGTAAACAGTTCGGCACCCCGATGTCACCTCGCGCACTGGATATTGGCAACGTTACAAAAAAATTAGTGCCAGTAAACAAAAAAACGTTGCCTGTGACTTGTTTTTCACTTTGAAACGTGGAGCACGTTTCATGCTAATATCATTAATATCATTATTCCAGTGTGCATATATCTAAATCAGTGGGTCCATTTAACTATAAACTAACAGGGCAAATGGGATGGATAGTTTTTGAAAAACGTTGCTTCGCATTGCAACGTGACCAAATATAGAGAAAATAAATCGCCATTGTGGGATAGCGTCAACATTTGCTTCAAGTTGGTCGAGAAAACATGTTGACTGTATTTTTATATACCTTGTCGGATTTCTCATTAGTCAGTGGACCTGCCTCACCATTTCATTTTTTTACTCAGCCTT